GAAGGAGAGGCTGTTCGTGGGGTTAAAACCGAGCAGCAAAAGGTTCGAGGGCAACCAAGGTCGCCGGAATCAGAGGAAGAACACAGAGAAGGAGATTTGGGATTTTCAATCTGAAATCCTAAGGAAAGTTCTTCTTTTACTCTCTCCCTTTGATCTGTGTTTTTATACATGCCTAGGATATTCCCGGAGACTTAAACAATTAAACTGAAGTATTATGCATGCTTAATTGAACTTAAACAAAGGATTGTATATTTTTAGTTTTATATTCTTGTTTTGAATGATTCTGGAATTTTTAATGCATAATTGATGTTTAAGTTTAATCTTTGCATGTTAAAACATCTAAAATAATTTAGTATGGACGTATGAGACTTAGGTTGAAGCTTAGAGGCTTTAACTATGGAGTTTTAGGGTTTACAGAGGCTGAGCAGACGAAGAAGACGACTTCAGCACCAACTCAGCCAACTAAGTTGGGAACTCAGCCTGCTCAGTTGAACCGTGACCTGAATATTTGTTTTAATTGCCCATAATTGTTTTTAAACCTATTTTAATTAAATCTAAATGGGTTAAATGGACTTTGGAAGGTTCTATAATGCATAATACACGTCATGTGCTTAAGGAATTGGATAACACGGAGTTATAAAACAATTTCTTAACAATTTATGCATACTGGTTTTGGCTATGGAAAATTAAATTGCTTGGATTTATTTTAGCAATTTTATTTCAGTGATTATATGTTTCAAATCATGTATCAATGGAAAAATATGCATGTCCAATCTTATATTTTTGTTATGCTTGTTAAGGATTAAATTGATGTTTAAATTTCAATATTTGTCGCATCAATTGTTGGACTGAAAATATAAGCATGATAATTGGCCAATGTTATTATGCTTGCTATGGAATTAATTGATGTAAACATTTATCCATGTTTTGTCAGTTATATGAATTCTGTGGATTAGTTGGTATTTGCATTCATTATTTATTTTATCAACTGCTGGATGGATGGATTGTATGCACCGGTATGGGACGGTGGCATACTAGGGACGGATTAGTTTCAAAATACTATATCATACCTATATCGGAATAAGGGAACGGATTATATGAATAAAATCCTACTTATAATTAAGTCAAAGAAGTTACACAAGCTGAATGACTAATTAGATTACTTGTTATTTATGTTAAGTCAAAGAAGCTGCACAAGCTGAATAACTAACTGGACTTACCTAAAAGGGATAGGATGGACTTTAAATATATTTTTATAATACCGTGATATGAGCTTGAGTCTCAGGATCGACGGTTAGGGAACATATATGTAGTAGGATGAGTAGCTGGCTATGATGGTAGAGGTATACCCTATTAGGCTTAGGTACTCATGCCCATTCAGGTGCGTTTTGCATGTTGCCTTCTATTCAGGTTGAAACTCCCTTTGTAGTCCAGTGAGAGTCCCTTAGTGTGGATATATCTATGTATGGACTATATAGCTATTGTTGAGTTGAATAGGATGTATACGTGTATTGGATCTCTGCTTGGACTGTAATAGAGTAGAACTTGTTTGTGGATCTGACCCATCATTATTTTTCAGGTGTTCGTCAGGAGTAGAGGTTGTTCGTCAAGAGTAGAGGTTGTTCGTGCTGAGCAGGGATCAGTCTATTTCATTCTTCCGCTTCTATTTTGGAGATTCGTTTATGATTCAGTTTTCAAATAGAGATATTATTCAGTTTGGATTTTCTAGGGGTCCACATAATATGGATTCCCTAGTTGTATTATATTAGAGGATTAATTGTATCAGAATGATTTATTAATCAATGGAAATTTATTCTGAGGATTAATTATTGGATTATTGTTTTAGTTTCTTTTCAGCAATTTATTTATTCTTTTGTACTCTGTGTTCGTTTGTTACCAATTTGTTTTTGATATCCACGGGTATTCGGCCGTGGGCCTGGCCAACTCGCATTTGGAAATCCGGGAGTATCACACTAATCAAGAACACGTACTGTTTTAAGACGTTCAACCAAGCGAACCAGATTAATTCTAATATTTCCCCATGTGTTTCAGAACTAGTAAAATTCATTATTCATCAACTGACATCAATTTAAGTCATGAATTATGTACAAAGACTGTAAAACAAGAAGTTAACAGTTCATGAACACATATTGATACAGACAATGCAAACATGCGTAATAAATTGATTTTAATCTTTCTCTATTCCTGGACTTGAGTTAGACATGCAAAGAACACGAGCTAAAGGGAAGGAGTTAGGATTAGAACTTGCCTTTTAGGTCTCAATCCGAAACCTTACACCGACGTCTTCCTCAATTCTCCGGCGAACGTTCTGTTTGCCCTCTCTATTTTCTCTATGCCTCCACAATCGTGAATAGGGTTCTAAAACCCTAGGTAAAACCTTAAGACATGTATTTATAGGCCCATAAGGTTACCCTAATTCTAGTCCTAATACTAGACGGGAAAACGAGGTCGGCTACAGGGTGAAGAAAAACCAAAACCCTAACTTAATCTCACTAACGTATTTAAACAATTATAATAAATCAATGAATACTAAATTAAACCATTTAACAATTAATTCAATTAAAGTAAAACAATAAGTTCTATAAAAACAATTAATTCCATTTAATAACACCATTAATCAAGTAATTCAATTAATTAAATAAAACAAAATGCTGCGATTAATCAATTAATTAACAACAAATAAAAGAACCAAACAAATAGCCAAATAACCACATAAGAATGCAAAATTACAATAACCTCAAAATAAACTACCGAGACTATCCTTTAAAATTAGGGGTATTACACTAACATTCTTAAACCATTACTCAATTGTGACCGGATTATACCCTGCTTTTCATGGAATCATCAACAACTATTTTGTTGATCCACACACTGGTGTAACCTTCATTATGAGCAATCACGAGCCTAACTGGTGGTTAGGTGAACCACTGTTGGAGACAGTGGTCAATCACTGTTTGAGCCAAATTGCCTAAAGGGCTTTGTTTGGGTGAATTAATGAAATGGGGGTAGCATGGTAATTTGACTCAAACAGTGAAAAGGTTATTTTGGACAACAAACTATAGTAAACCATAAAAGTTCATGTCCATATCATTATTTTGGTCAACTTTATTTTTTAGAAACTATAGGACTTTGACTACACAATGTTGTAAATATAGGCCCATAAGTACATTTATATGTAAAAGTCCCTTTTATACTCTACTTTTGTCTCAAAATAAATTTCTCTTTTGGAGAATTGTATGACCCACAACAATTCTCCAAAAGAGACATTTTTTTTGGGACAGGTAGAGTAACTAAAATATATTAAATATTAGAAGGCAATATCATCTTTTTCATATTTCTAGTTTCTCACATAGGATAGCATTGTTAAAAAAGAGACTAACTTGTATACGAGGATAAATGGATGTGAGTGTAATTTATCTATAAATTAGAGCCCGTTTGGGATTGCTGTTAGAATGTTATAGTAGAGTTGTTATAAAACTGTTGTTAGTAAAATGCATTTATGCATTTGGTGACACATTATATAAAGCGCACTTTTTATACTTGAAGTACTTTTAAATTTGTTTGGTAATAATGTTGCTTAAAGCACTTTTATTGTTAATTTTACTATATTATCCTCACACTAAACATGTGTTAATTCCCTAATATTAAATATTATAAAATTCCATTGAGTTCAATAATTTATTTTTTATTTTTTTAAATATCACATATTTTGTTTATGATATCGAATTTGTATTGAGTACTAAAATATAAATGAGTTAAACATATTTTAATGATGATTAATTTGTATCTGATTTGGAAGGTGGTTGCAAAATCTTAGGATAATTTAAAATCTTCGTTTGTTACAGAGTCTCCCAATATTGTTTGCTATTTGTTTGTAATAGGGGCAAAATTGCATTTATAAAAAATATAAAGGGATTAAATTGTTTAAAAAAATTAGTTACCTAAAAACATATATCTCTATTCACAATTTTAAAAGTTACAATTCTTATCATCACTTAGGGCCCGTTTGGATCGCGATAACACTATATGTTATGGTTTGGTATAATATGAAAATAACCGTTTTGGTATTGGTATGTTTTTAGTAGTAATCGGAACCATGTTTGGTAATGACTGTTTTGTTTTTGATAATTGTATATCAAAAACATGAAAACGCGTTTGGTAATGTCATGCGTTTTAAGGAATTCGAAAACAAAACACGTTTGGAAGTTAGTTTTGTTGTCAAAAATTCTGAATCAATAACAGGATACCTGTTTGGTAAAGACTGTTTTGTTTTTGTTTTGAATAATTATATATATGAATACAATTAAAAGTTTAAATGTAATAGTCCATTTTTCTTTATAATTAGAGATAATTTGTTAAAATATATATATATATATATATATATTCTGCATTAAAGAGTTAGGAAATTTTTTTTTGAATAAATTTACATGTATAAATAAGATCATATGCGATGTTTATGAGGCACAAACATGATTAGTGGCAGCCAAACTACAAATCTAACTTTGTAATAATCTTTTAATGAGAGGAGATCTTTGCACTCCATTTATCTTTTTCTTTTGGCTTGCACTCTGTTTAACTTTATTTTGTTTCATATATATATATATATATATATATATATATATATATATTATATAAATTCATTATGAATGAGAGAAATCCTTGTAGTTGAAACTAACAAGAAGCAAAGCCAAAACGTTGATCTTCTTGAATTGGTCAGAGTTAAGGTTTGGTGGGCATTGAAGCTTGTGAATTGGTTTACTTCACTGAGATTAGTTTGAAATTTTCTGCTGGAGATCCTTCAAAGTGCTAATATTTTTATTGTTAACTCATGAGACCATTTCCCCTTTTCCTGAGTATTTATTTTGATAACCAACTTCTGAATATTTCGTACAATCTCCAACCATAACTAGAATTGATAAATAGGAATATTATTAGAAGCAAGCAAGCAATCAAGGAAGCTAGACATCACAAGCTAGACATCAAACGACAAGTTTTTTTTTGTACATCACAAACTTAATAAATTGTTGTTGCACCATTCACATATATACTTGCACATATAGGGAGCTAGACATTCCTTAAAATTAGTATATGTGTACACACACACTTCATTATACTTACATAAAATGTACACACAACTGAAGATCACTACAATTCATTCCATAAAATGTACACACACTTCTTTATACTTGCATAGGCCTCCATTTGATTAAGTTAGAGATCACTAGCTTCCTGAAGTTGCAGCAACTGGAGAATGCTTCCTATAAATCACACTGGTGCCACTGCCCACAACTTACTGCCATGTCCTTCAACTCCACCACGAAATAGCTGCATTCTACTAAGCCTGAAAAATTGTTATATATTTCACAGTTATATATTTCACATTTTTTCTACTGTTATATATTTCAAAAATCCATTTCAAGTTTAAAAAATCAACCACATGCCTTTTTGGAATCAAAGTTTAAATTCAATTTTTTTTTTCGAAAATCATGCATAGTTTCCCTTTAAAAATGGACATTTCCAAAATTGAACCTAACACAATAAACACAAGGGACACCACCCACAAAATAAATTCAACAAGGGACACCGCCCACAAAATTAATTCAACAAGGGACACCGCCCAAAAAATTAATCCACAAATCCAAGTAAAATTGCTCGTTCTCCTCCTAAACTACTCCAACAGTTACAAGATATATCTAACCTTTTTTCAGGCTAAGTTGCAAATTTGGAATGTAAATGACCTCATGCAAAACCAAACACACGAACAACATTAGAGAAAAATAAAATAACACATGGTAGGAATGAAGTAATTTAATAGTACTAAGCAAGATATATCTAACCTTTTTTTAAGCTAAGTTGCAAATTTGGAGTGTAAATGACCTAATGCAAAACCAAACACATGAATAACATTAAAGAAAAACAAAATAACACATGGTAGGAATGAAGTAATTTAATAATACTAAGCAAGATATATTAACCTTTTTTTAGGCTATGTTGCAAATTTGGAGTGTAAATGACCTCATGCAAAACCAAACATATGAACAATATTAGAGAAAAACAAAATAACACATGGTACAAATGAAGTAATTTAACAGTACTAAGCAAGATATATCTAACCTTTTTTCAGGTTATGTTACAAATTTGGAGTGTAAATAACTTCATGCAAAACCAAACACATGAACAACATTAGAGAAAAACAAAATAACACATGGTAGAAATGAAGTAATTTAACAGTACTAAGCAAGATATATCGAACCTTTTCTTTTGGCTTGACCCCATGCAAAACCAAACACATTTATACCATTTAATACGCAGTTGAAAATATAGCATTTATAGTTCTCACCAGCAAGGTCATCCAAATATATAAAATTAAGTATATATTACATACCAAATGAAACACAGGAAATTAACTAAATACCTATTACATGTCATATATTATAAAAGATTGAAGTTTATCTAACTTCATCTTTCAATAACAACGATAATGAGCAAGAAGAAGACAATCACAATAAACATGATTATGATAGTAAGTCATCCACAACCTAGGAAGAGTATGTACTTCTGTCTACATTGTTCATTTTGAATCATTACAATGACTCTGTCCAAGTCAAATTAAACCTGTTCTTTAACTTGTGCACCTTGGTGCAACTCATCCACCCATATAAATGCATTCATATGTGACTACAAGAAATATAAATTATACAATTAGGAAACAGTAACAGAAATAACACCTAAAAGATAAAAGTCATACCTCTCGAGCTGGACACCTATAAAATTGTCAACCATCATTTTTTGGAGTTCGAGCCCTATACAGATGTATAAGACCTCTACCATATGCACATTGTGGTCGCTCACCTTCAAGCCTATACATAAGTCCGCCTACAAGACTAAAGCATTTAATATTTGATGTCCTAATATAATTAGTTGTTACAGTTATCCATATTGTATGCATGTGACTTTAATTTACGTAATATAATTACATATTACAGTTATCCGTATTAAAATCCTACACAATATTACACACTATTATAATTAGTTATTATAGTGCTCCCAAATTAGGTTGGCAATACGATCACGATAAATATCCATTTGTCGCATCTGTGTATTAGTACCACTAATGACCTCAATAATGTCATCCACATCAGGTTCATTTTGTGAAGTAGAAGATTCAGGGTTTTCACAATAAAAAATTTCATCAGATTCACCTTGGGATCTTATGAAATTATGCAATGTACAACAGGCAATAACAATAAGAACTTGAGTGTCAAAGTGATAAGGGGGCATTTGCTTCAATATAGTGAATCTTATCTTTACCAACCCAAAACATCGCTCTATAATATTCCTCAATGACGAGTGCCTAAAATTGTACACCTCTTCTTTACCACGTGGTCCTCTAGTATGTCTACGATATTCCTGCATGTGGTAACGTTGACCAATTGGCACTACAGCATGGATATGAGTACTATCTATGGCTCCTACACAATTCTTAAAGTATGGGTAAACCTTTGGATTGTTCTTTATCTGTGTAGGAATTTCATTCAAATCCGGGGGAACAATAATCTTAGTCCCTAACTTACAAATTAACTTTAAGACGGCATGAAAGTGATATGAAATTGTGGATGTAGAGTGTTGGAATCTTTCAGCAACGACACGATTCCTTTCATTGTGAGACACGGTAAGTAAGAAAATTACAACTTGTTCTTCTACTATTACAAATGTTGAATCTTTCAATCCTAACAATTTCAACTCACGATTCAAAGCCCTTAAGGTATTGGGGTACATCCGAAAATTTTCATTACATATATCTTCATGTCCATTTAAAATCTCAAATACGTAATCTTCCCCTTTATAACATAGAATCCCTACAACGTTACTTATCAAAATGTTTATGATAGTACTTATATACGGCTGCGATCAATATAAGAATTTCCTTATCATCATCATCATCATCACATGGTTAATATTGCCCTTATATCCATATCTACTATCCTATTTAAGAATAAATAGAAGCAGAAAAAAAGAAATAAAAATTAAACAACTTCATGATATAAGGAAAATGAAAAAATATATAGCAAATAATACAGTTATTCATCAACAATACAAAAATGATAAAAGACAAACCAAATCATACAATTATCTAGCAATAATGTAAAAATAATAGATATAGAAGATAAATAGTCATCCAACATTAATTTAAAAGTAGTAGATAGAGGAATTAAATACAGCTTCCAACAGTAATGTAAAAGCAGTAGATAAGGAAAATTAAATACAATCTTCCAACAGTAATGTAAAAAGAGTTATAAAACAGTCATCCAAAAGTACATAAAAGTAAGATAGCGAACATATCACAGAGGCTAATTCATCACCCACCCAAACCTTCCTCTCATCAGGAATGCGAAGAAATATGCCCCTCCACACCTTGTCCTCACCAATCATCCTTATGATCTTAGCATAATGGGCATCATCAATCCCCATTAATGTGTTGACGATCCTAAGGCAATCCTCAAGCTAGGGATCCATTTATTTTTTACTAGGAGATGTCACTTCAGGCACTTCTTTAAGAATAGATGGTTGACAACTAGAAGATGATTCTACTATGGCTTTGGCAATTTTATCAGCTTTCGCGTTCCCAATATCAGTCAAACATGCCATCACTTGAGACATTGTGGAGGCAAAACTTTCTTTCTTAAGTTTCTTAGCTACAGGTTTGGGAATAGGACTAAGGTCAATAGGTCCTTCTACATTAGGTCGTTCTACATCAGTTGTGTCCGCATTGCCCTCAATGTTATGAATTGTAGCTTCATGTGTTGCCACTTGAGACATTATTAGCACTTTGTGAGGTTTGGGTGCTTTAGTAGAAGGATGAACATGCTAATCAATAACATGTGTATCCCCAAAAATCCTTACCATCTGCTCATAATTCTTACACTCCTGTTTTTTTATTGTTCATCAAACCCTTTTAATACTAAATCACTGATTAGTAACTCTATGTATGGTAAATAGACACGTATTGAAATACTAACATCGCACAATCAAACCCATCTTTCAACTTCCAACTCAATCATCCCAGTTTCACTGTTGTCCCTACACCAATCTCAGTTAATATTTGTTTGCAATCTTTGTATAGTGCTCTGATATTATTGAATTTTTGTCTGCATTGGTCCTTCGTGTACTTCTTTCCAGTTTCCACCAACATTGCGTCCATAATATGTGTCTACTCAATTGGATTAAAAGTCGTGCCTGTACGATTTCCTTTTCCAACCTCTTCCTCCATCAAGAGCATGAATTTCTCTTGATGGGCATCATACCAAATAGCGGCATCAGGTCCTCACCATTCTCAGCATCAAAAGAATGAATGTCTTTTTATGGATATTGGTCAACATTATCATTGTTCATATCCATCTGATTATTATTAAGTAAATTTAACAGTTTAGTAAATTGTTTATATAATTCTAATTTTTAAGTCATAATTTAATGCTACTATATTATATAAGAATTAAAAATATAAATAAAAAATTAAAAAAAAATTCAAGGAAGTCCTAACCCCTAAAACATGTTCAGATGATACAAGTCTTTATTGACTTATGAAACAAAACATGCCTTGTTAAATGTTTTAGAGACAAATCTAACATAACCTTGAACTCCAAAAATGTCAATTGTGATATTAAATATGAGCCTCCCAGACACAAGCACAAAACAAGTGTATGAATTGAAATTACTAAGTTTATTACAACGTATTTGCCTATGCTTATTACTAATTTTTATTCAACATGTATATAAATGTGTTCCCGACATCAATTGGTCTTGTGTCAACCCCCCACAATATGTTACACAAATATTTCAACAATAGGAGAGGCTTTCTCAAGCCTTAATCAGACTTAACAACATCAAACATGCATATATATATATATATAGACAACAATAAATCATATGAGTGACACACAATTATATCACAAATTAAAATTGAAATAGAGCCCCCAAATTAAAACAAAATAGGAACAATAAATCATATGAGTGACACACAGTCAAGTTTTCATGACATTTTCTTCTTAAAATTATATATATCAGATGCCAATTAGATCCTAAAGCGAAATTTACAATTAACGGCATATATAGACTCAACTTCCATTAATATAATGCCGATATATAATTAATAATGATAAAATTTTTCTATTCGCATGATGTATTCATATTCGTTACTGAAAAAGGATAATAGTTTTAAAACATTTGAGTGCTATAGCTATTCTTCAATACAGATCACTACATTGCAAAAAGGGAAAAAATTATTAGATCCCCAATTTTGGAGCTGTTTATTCAACTTTATATGGATCTATTAACCAATTTTGATTAACATTTATAATCAAGACATTCAAGCAAAAAAATCAAGAATCTTATCTATTGAAATTGATGTATTTTCAGTCAATTGAAATATTTATTCCAATCTGTAATCATATCTATTATAAAATTAATACTACCTGTAATTTGGTTTAGACTGAGCTCTTCAGTTGTCTTTACATGAACTATACGCTTATAGTGTGTAACGTTTTTTCCTAACAAATTGCATATACAGTTAAAAGATACTATGGTTCTGCTATGGTACGTAGACTATTGGTTCATAAGACCACCTATTTTATTGTTCTGGTGCCTAAAACCAAGGTTACGTCTCACAGACTCAATGGCTTGTACAAAAATATGGATTGCGAACAGATAATTAGAGGCATATGCGATATATAACAGCTAAAATGAAACAGCTTTTAACAATAAAGGCAAAAATATTGACCTAGGGTTTCAGAGAACCACCTATTTTACTGTTCTGGTGCCTAAAACCAAGGTTACGTCTCACAGACTGAACGGCTTGTACAGAAATATGGGTTGCGAACAGATAATAAGAGGCATATGCAATATATAACAGCTAAAATGAAACAAATTTTAACAATAAAGGCAAAAATATTGACCTAGGGTTTCAGAGAACCACTTATTTTACTGTTCTGGTGCCTAAAACCAAGGTTACGTCTCACAGACTGAACGGGTTGTACAGAAATATGGGTTGCGAATATATAATAAGAGGTATATGCGATATATAACAGCTAAAATGAAAGAAATTTTAACAATAAAGGCAAAAATATCGACCTAAGGTTTCAAAGAGAAGAGAAATACCTTCGATGTGCTGGCCACTAAGCTAGGGTTTCAGAGAGTAGAGAGAAACGATAGGAAAGCCGATACCGAGTTGAAATTGGTCTTTCTTTTTGAAAGATTTGCAGACTACCAACCCCGATCTGCAAGAATAAAAAGAGATGAGAGGCGCAAATGGAAGGAGGTAGCTGGTGGAGGAGCTCTGCTAGATCGGTGGTGTGTATGGCATAATTTAAGAAAATCGACAACACCCAACCTTCGTTTCAAAGGAATCGCCCCTCAGTCGCCTCCGGAGTGAAAAAACGAAGAGAGAGAAATATTTTGTAGAAACGAGCTAGGGTTTATAAAATTTGGTCTTATATGTGATATGCCGCTACAGTATAACTTGATAGTGGTTTGGATCGGCTGTTTTTGGTTTGGGCTTTTGGTATGGCCGCTACAGTGTTGAAAACACCCAATATCACCATTTTTGTGATATGGGATTTGCCCTAAATCTCAAAATGATATGGACTTGTTCAAAAACATATTAGCCAACACCAAACGAGATATGGACCCAAAACTAAAACACCAAAACCAAAAACATTTTGGCTTTCCAAACAAGCCTTAAAGGCGCAATTTTTTGAAATGAAAGTGCTTTTTAGCAGTGTGATAATACAAAGTGCTTTTCTTGAGATATTTTTTAACCGTTAGATTACTGAAGGTGTAAGTCTCATGATGCACCCTCAATTAGCAAATAAAATGTATATTCAAACTCGGAGAGAAAGCGTCTGTTCATTGTTTCCCCAATCGCTCTCCGGTGTCTTGAGTCTTTTGACGGAAAGTGCTAGATATCGACGGCCGAAATACGACAATGGCGACCACTTCGAATGTTTCTAATCGGCTACGACTACACAGGTACATCTTCTATTACTCCCATTTCTCTTTCTTGTTCTCTGTCTCTTCAAATCAAAAACCCTAAAATTATCATTTCTAAAAGTCTTTTTCTTTTTTTCCTTCAAAATTTTTTACTCTTTTTTTGTCGAAGCCCAACCTCTTTGTCTCATTTCCTCTTATCAATTCTGAGTTTACCACTGCAAACTCAGAAATTGGATTGCATATGAAATAGAAATTAACTATGTTAGTAACCCTCATTCTAGATGAATGCAGGGTCTAGTGAATAAGATTGATTTATTGAGTATGGTACAAACTCTTACTAACGACTATCCCTAACAAAATTACCTACCACCGAGGTTTTCTAAAATTTAAATCTTTGATTTGGCCATTGAATTTTACTTCTAAAAGATTTTATATATATATATATATATATATATATATATATATATATATGGAGAGAGAGGGAGAACATAAAGAGAGCTAAATATTCTCTTTTTCTACAATGATTTTTTTTTTTTTTTTTTTTTCCTTTCTCAGTGACCTAACCGAATATTTTTATTGATGTTAAGAAAAGTGATTTGATTTTATGTAATGATTTTATTGCACTTTTTCTTCTTTGCTTAGTTTTTTGCCACACTTCATGATTAACATAGCTGTAATTTTCCTGTCATAGTTAAGGTATATCTAAAATTTTATTTTATTTTTATTATTATTATTTTTTTCACATATCTAGCAATTGGGTTTTACTGAAAAAGAGCTTTATTTCTATGTAAAAGTATACTTTCTTGAAATTTTGGAATTCTTGGTTGATACTGAATTGTCCATTTATGTTTTATAATATTGGGTGTCCATTGTTTTTATTATATTTTGAAGTTGAGTGAGAATTATATGTTCTTTTGCAGTTAGCAGAATTGAATTGGAATGCTAAAGACAATGCCACTTGGTCAGGTTTAATTTTTTTAACTAATAAATTTATTTGTCTGCTTGTTTTGGTTATTCCCCTTGAACTCTCATCTTCTTTGTTCTAGTTTACTGTTAAATCTCTTGTTAGTTAACATCAAATACTCAATTTGCCTGTGATTTGAACAATCTATATTTGCTATGTTTGTTGATTAATTTTTTATTTTTTTTAATCAAGCACATTGTGCCCCTGAAATGAAATCCCGGCTTCATCCCTAGAGACAGTGGAACACCACCATTGTGTATGAGGGACAATTTGAATTATTATTATTATTTTTTTAAAAAAAATAATTAAATTTTTTTAAAAAATTGTTTCAAATAAACCCAAAGTTCATAGGCCCTTGGTTTAGTCTTTTATGCACTTTATTATTGTTGGAACTAGTGTCTCAAATTCCTATTCTCATCATGCTTCTATTTTAGAGTTGTATTTTGTTTGGTAATTTCTTGTTTGGCAAGTCTTGGTCTCTAAGAAATTGTAATCCTTCTCCAACAAGGAATTATGTTTGGAACTCTATAAATGCATAGGCTTTGTGTTGAGACTTATGAGATTGAGAGAGATTTAGTCTCATGAGGGATTGATGAATAGAGATAGTTTATGTATTGGTAGGATAAGGAAAAGACCAAGGGTCACTAGTAGGGAGTAGATAGGCTCATGTAGTGGTACATGGTGAAAAGATGTGTGTGGTGTTGGTACTCTGACGTTGTAATATTTCTATGAATTATAGTGGAAGCTCTTCTCATCTGTGGATGTTGGTCCCGTTTGGCATAACTTTTATTTTTGCTTTACGCAGAAGAAAAAGATAAGTAGAAGCTATCACTTATATTTGGCTTATATGTTAGTGTTTGAGAACTGTATCTTAGAAGAGCTTTTAATCCTAGAAGAGTTTTTTTTTTGTTTGTTTGGCAAAACATTTATTAAAGTTAGTCTACTACTAATATAACTATTTTGCCCTTAAAAGATTTTTATTATTTATTTATTTATTTTATCATTTGTCAACCTAAAGTAGTTTAACTTTTTTTTTATACCACTCTTTTTAAATATATACGAATAAACTATTCAATATAATAAAATTTATCCATACCCCATATATAATAATAAAAATAATAATAGATTGCAAAAACCATTTGACGGTTTAAGAAACTTAGTAAACCACATGAACGAGTTAATGGTCCAAAACACTCACTGCGTGAACAAACTTAATTCTACTATAAGTAAGTCATTCTTACCGTCAATTAAATAATTACTATTTTTCTATTTTTTGAACATAATATATATTTAACTCATTTTATAAATTCTTTCTTCAATAATTTTTCTTTCTTTCTATAGTGTCTCGATAAATTGAAATATTGAAACAAATACAACGCTTTACATACAAGTTCACCTATTTCCCAATCAATTTTGACCGTCATCGGAGAGATGTTTAAGTTGGTCTTTTATTATTATGCCTTAGCCCAGACTATGGAGATTTTTTTCATAACCCTCATCAAATTATATCATATAATATAAACCCACAGCTTCATAAGCAAACCTAGACAAAATAAAATTGAAGACAAAAAGGATATGAAGGCAAAAAGAATATGCTGGTAACCAAGAATGAATCAAATTATAGATTGCTAAGAGTGAAATATATACATGGAGGAAGAAAGAGACTTTTTGTCTCTATTTACAGAGAGAGATGAACTTGGCCGATGAATCAAGGACCAAAGCCAATCCCAAGAAACATGAAAGTCAAGCTTGAAGAGCAATTTTTTACCATATGAATTTTTCAGTCCCTCTCACAAATGAAAGTTCTGTATCAAGTATCAACCTACCTTTCATAAAGGTATCAAAAGGCCGTAAAGCCCCGAGTATGAATTATGAATCGAAGTATGACTCAATGTCTCTATATATTTGTATGAATTGAAGTATGCCTCTTTCTTCCTCAATGTCTGTATGAATAGAAGTATGCCTCTTTCTTCTTCAATGTTTGTATGAATCGAAGTATGCCTCAATTATTTATATATATTTGTATATGGTTGGTATATTACTCTAGGTTTTAACTTGAAACGGAAGGCTCTTTGTTAACAGCAACTCTTCTTGTTGAAGGTTTGTTTGTGATTTTGCCGGACCCATGGGAGTTTACTCGAACCATTCCCCAGTCTCCCGCACTGCTCAAGTTAGTGTGCGACTCCTACTGAGGACCTCCTTCCCTTCTGCCTACTTTCTGTTAACACGATTCTCAAAGTAGAGGAGGAAGGGTGGACAGCAGGTAACATGAGCCCTCTGTCCCACACGTCTATCCAGAAGCAAGTGTAGTTCACCGGTTCCACCGAATGCTCCTATCTCTCGGCGAAGATCGTGTGAGTATGTAGTTATGCTTCAGATGCTTCGCCATAGAATAGATCGACCCAGTTCCCATTCTTTTCCGGTGTACTCGTTTTATATCTCCGACACACGAAACATGTGTTGCAACGGGCTTCAGTTCTAGGTGTAGTCAATCGGCTTGGTTACATGGCACAGAGCTCGAGTAGTCAAGGTGGAGCCTTGGAGGTTTGACTGATCGAGCAGCGTAGAGTGTGGATAATCGGAGTTTTGCAGGAGGTTTGTCAAGATTGAAGCTGCAAAAGAATTGTCCTCATTAATGCCGTGGAAACGATGATTGACCGGATAGAATTTGAGACAAGGTGGTGATTGTTGGAATTTGTGTCTCAAATTCCTATTCTAATTTTGTTTTTATTTTAGAGTTGTATTCTGTTTGTTAATTTCTTGTTTGGCAAGTCTGGACTTCTAAGAAATTGTAATCCTTGTCCAACAAGGAATTGAGTTTAGAACTCTATAAATAGATATATAGGCTTTGGGTTGAGAATTATGAGATTGAGAGAGATGTAGTCTCATGAGGGAGTTGATGGGTAGAAGTAGTATGCGGGTTGGTAGAGTAGGAAAAACAACGATGACACTGTTAGCGGGGAGATAAGCTCATGGAGTGATACATGGTGAAAAGACATGTACCAAGTGTTGGTACTCTATTGTTGTAATATCTTTACGAATCATAGTGGAATGTCTTCTCATTCATGGACGTAGGTCAGTTTTCAGATAATTTGGCTAGCTCTATGTCCTGAAAGGTTCAGATGCTAACATGGCAAAATCAAGACGAAACAATCATCTCCCACCATCGATAGGCAATATTACATGTTCCCTTAGGCTATCAAACTTGGCATTTGTAGCACTACTACCACCATATTCGTTGGTATTTGATCTCTCATCAAGCAAGGGCTCAGTCTCCTCCAAATTCAATGCTATGCCAACCCATCGATGTTTGTCTACCATCCTTAGTCCCTCTAGTCCCATTCCTACTTCCTTCATAGAAGGTCTCTCCTCCCTCTTCAGGTTTAAGCACCTCCTTGCAATCTCTGCAACTTCCTTGAGCTGCTCAGCATATCCATCACACACTAGATTGTCCTCAAGAACTTGAAACAAGCGACCCTCTTTCAGTGAAGAAAGAAAATACGTAGCTAAACTCCTCTCCTCCTCTAGTCTATCAAAAGAAAGGGCCTTCTTTCCAGTTAATAGCTCTACAAGGACTACTCTGAAGCTATAAACATCACTCTTCTCATTCAATTGGCTCGTGTGCATGTACTCAGGGTCCAAGTATCCAAGAGTTCCTTGCACCATCGTACAGAATTGAGCTTGATCCAATGGAACCAACCTTGATGTTCCAAGGTCAGACACTTTTACAGCGTAGTTATCATCTAAAGAGTATGTTTGCAGACTTGACATCTCTATGGATGATCGGAGTAGAAGCTGCAGAGTGCAAATATGATAGAACCCCAGCAGTTTCTGCTGCAATCCTTAGACGGATGTCCCAAGAAATGGCGGTTTCCTTTCTTTCATTATGGATGTGTTCAAAGAGGGTGCCATTGTTGATGAACTCATAAACTAGTAGAGGGACCTCTATCTCCAAACAACAACCCTATAGCTTTATCACATTTCTATGGTTGATCTGAAAGAGTACAATCACCTTGTTGATGAATTGCTCAATTTGGCCTTGATCCACTATTTTAGGCTTCTTGATGGCAACTATTTTGCTGTCTGTTAAGTAGCCTTTATAAATTGTGCCATAACCGCCTCGACCAATTATTCTACTTTCCTCGTAGTTGTTAGTAGCCATCTGAAGCTCTTTCTTGGTGAAAATTTTGACTGTATCCTTGGTTCCTTCTTGTTCAGAGAGCTGTTGTTGTAACATTAAACCACCATTTTGCTGAAATAATTTTTCTTTGATCCTAACGAGCTTTCTTTTCTTCAATCCAAAGTACAACCAGGAGCTACCAACAAGCAGAACTGTTACCACTGTAGTAATACCTGTAATTGAAATTATAAAGGAATATTTTACGTCTTTTTGTAAGTAACTTAAGCAAAGCATGAATAAAATACTGAAAAGTCCAAAGGATACTGTGCAGTACTGGAAAGAAGTAAGATGAACATAACACAACCACGAATATAAAACTCCCCCTTATATTTATATCCATGGACAATTTGATGAGAATATAATTCACCAAAAGACTTGGAGACCATAGTATTTTAAGGATAAAACAATCCATAATAATCAGGAAAAACTAACATTTCATTCAAGAACCCCGAACCTGTTATTACAAATTAGCTAATTGCTTGATCACAACTAGCTTTCACTTTCAATGTCCATACTTGACCAACTCGTGATGGTGCCACCCAACAATTGTGAGGTTCAGAAGGTTGTCTGGAATTACTACACTAACAAAGGAAGACAGTACCTAAGGAGATCACTCTACCAAATTATCTTTGTGGCCCAAAGGGTAATATAAATGAATTGATGGATATAAACCATATTCATTGATCTTTCCCTCTTTTCAACTGGTGGCATCAATTGCTAAGGATATCTGAAAAATTGAATCATCATTGTATCTGAGGAGGAAATTAGAATCCATCTAATATACTACTGACATAAAGAGTAATCACGAGTAGTTGATCAACAACGCAACCTTCTCCATTTGTTCTGCTGTCCCAACGGTATCCTCTGGGGCAAGAACATGTATAATTGCCTGCAATGTTACCACAATGTTTTGGGCACCTGTTGAGACTTGGGTCCTCACATTCATTAATATCTGCAAAACAATTAAAGAATTAACTTGAGGCACATGTCAGGAAAACACTTAGAAGCAATGCAATTAAAGGTTTAATACAAACATAAATGTGGTGAATACCTTGGCAACCATTGGAGAGGTATGGGTTACCTTCGTAACCATTAAAGCATCTGCATCGATACCCAGGACCATTATCTGGTTCATAACACTTGCTATTTTCGTTACATGCATAGCTAATCAAATTCTTGCTAGCCACTTCGCATGTCTCATCACCAATGGTCCAATCAAGCACCAACAGAAGCTTTTTTTTTTTGTTCTTCAAATCGCGAAGATAATTTTTTGAGAAGTTGAACTCGCTTTCTTCTACAACAAAGGCATAGCTGCAGGGGTTGAAGCCATGTATGCATGTATGATTGTAGTAGCTACTTAGTGTCAAATTAATTTTCCTTACCCCTTTGGGGATGGATGTCTGGCAACATCCGAACCCGGAACAAGAACCATCAGTAATGTCATCCATGCTCTCACAAAGGGACATACACCCACTCGTGTAGCTCTGATCACCTTCGTAAGCATTTAAAATGGCGTAAGTATCACAACCAATTGCTACGAACTTATTTTGGGTATTAGAGATGGTGAATTTGGTCAGCTTGAATATGGGCTCGTTGTAGGTCATCCTGTAACCATGCACATCATAACAATCATGAGCGGTAAACTTCAAGACATGCAACTGACCTTCGAGTGTAATTTTGGTAACGTTTTTTGTACTCCTCTCTAAAAATGGTTTGGCAGGATTGAAGGAATTGTTACAGGTGATGAGGAAATGTTTATCTAGATAACAGGCCGGAGTCATGCTGAATGGGTATGGGATGCTTACATTCCCACATGATCAGCGCAGCCGGGTTTGGCTATGGGTGTATTCGCTGGCGAAGCAGTTGGTGCTGAGGAGAATATCAACAGCACAAGGGAGAGAATTTGGACAGGCATCACAGGCAAACCCATTGTGAGTGACAACTTTCTTTGATTTCTGATGGCTACTTTTTGGTGTATACAAAGTCACAAGCCCTTTTTTTGTTCCTTTTTTGGCACTCTAGTGGAAGACCAAGTCCACTGCAGTGTGATACACGAAAGAGATATACATGTGTCTGCCCTAAGTTTGGGCTGAGGTTAGTTGGAATAGTTGGTCTTTCTTTTTCCAGGGGTCAATGTTGTCTGAGTCACTGACAAAGATAGTACATTCTTGACGTGCAATGTCGGTTAGTATTAACTTCATTAAAAGAACTATCCGGTGCGTTCTCCGGTTCCGTTTGCAGAGTGTTGGGTTCAATTTCCTCCACAAATCTGGAGTCTGTTCTTCATTTATGTGCTTTGCTTCAAGATTTGTATGCCTTTTCTGGCTTAGCTTTATACCTCTGTACTGTCATCTTGGCTTTTGGCCTATGTGTTTTTGAATGACCAAAAAAATAAAAAAATGTAGTAGTAATGTTTATTGCCAAACACAGTTTTCGTATGTACCATAATCCTGTTGCCATGGTTTTTTTTTGAGTAATTCTGTAAATTAAGTGTTGATCGCATAAAGAAAGCACGTAAAAGGGACAAGGGGGATGCGAAGTTGTAGCCAAATTTTGTTTGGGCTTGAGTCAGGTTGCCATCCAATTTTGGCTTATTTTTTTTTTTTTTTTGACTTGCTTTCTCTTGTGTATCCCATTGAAAGATGCATATTAGATGAGAGATAATGTTTGGTGGCTGAAATTTATAATTTCTTTTTTTGTGCATAATGAAATTTTTTGTTTGATCTTGACTCTAAACATAAAGTTTATTCTGAACCCGTAAATCTTTATGTTCTGTGTGATGTGTTTATTTTTCTATAGTATGTGGGACTAACTTTTTTTTCCCTTCGAAGACTCAGGCAAATTGATAATTTGTAACCATAATTGTTATTAAATATATGTACGTGTCTTTTTCCTTGCTGAATTGAACAATATATAAACATCAAGTTCAACATAAAAATAAAAATAAAAATAAAAAAGAAGAAGAGAAAAACAAAAATGATAGAACAAAAGGACACTGTAAATGGGAGCACGTTGGTAATTTTTTTTTTTCACCTTTCACTCTCTTCAATTTCCCCCTCCTCTTTGTTTTCAGATTTCTAACTCTTTCTCTCTCTTGGATTTCATTTGCAGATGTTCTGTACAGAGTTATTGTTCCTTCGTCTTATGACCATTAAATGGCGAGTCATTGTTATCATGGTAATTGTACAAAGTTCTGTAAAATTGGGTTTGTTCATTGTTGGTAGGCTGCTAGGTGAGGGTGGTAAGGGAAAATAGCAAAATACTGGAACCCATTTCTTTTACTATTAGTCTATTATCCAATCACAGAATACAAATAGAGCTCACAGTTCATGTGATCCATATGACATGAGAGCACGTTGGTATTTTATAGAGGCTTCAGCTTGAATTTAAGAATTTTAAGCCCAATGGGCCAAAAGGAACATACAAGGACAAACTAGCACAAAACATGGCCCAAAAGGCCCAAAATAAAATTCAATCGAGTTAAAATTCAGTTGCTACGGGTTTTTCTCGAACCTTAAAGAATTAATTTGGCGGATGTGGAGGAGGTCTAGGATCCTTCGCCACATTTTCCCATTCTAGGGTTAAGAAAGCTTCCATTCGAGTTCGCAAACCCTAAGATTGTAATTTGCCCCTAATATTGTGTAATACAACATTCTTCCATTCACTATAGTGTCTGATACAAACTATGAGTGATTTTCTGTTTTTGTTGTTTTAAAATCCTTAATATGTGTTGTAATTTGCCCCTAATCTTGTGTAATACAACATTCTTCCATTCACTCTCATTTTTTTTTTTCAACTAACACCAATATGTGTTGTATTTTAGATTCGTGTATTTGTTGAGAATGTTGTGGAGCTCTGAGGTGATATATGGTGTTAATTGGAATAGGGGAGTATGGGCTTCATGATCTTGTGCTGTTGGAGTAAGTTCTCATTTATTATGTTATCTTATTGCTTTTCTCCTTATATCAATCGTATATGTATATGCTGAGAAAGATATGTTAATGGAAGAGTGATAGATTGATTGTATATGTTGAAAAAGATATATTTAATAGCATAGATAATGAAGTAATCGTACACAATTTTTGAAGTATGAAAACTCCTCGATGACAATTGTGAAAGTACTCAATGAAATTATCAATGAAGGTTAAATTTATTTATTTATTTATTTTTATTTTTTGTTTGTTTGTTTGTTTGTTTATTATGATAGTTTGAAAATAATTTATCTTATTGTTGTTTAACCACCCCCACCCAAAAGAATTATCTCACTCCTTCACTGATTGAAGGTGCTTTTGAATACAACTTTAGTTAATACTAGGAGAAACATTTTTCATAGCTCCTAAGCCAATTTTGCTGCTTGTTAAAGAACTAATCTGATGAAGAAACCTCTAGGGATGTAAATTAATTGATCTTTCAAAGGGTCCTCTGTTTTTTTCCACCCAATCATTTATTCGTCTTTTATTTCCGTCATTGAGAAACTAGTTCTTGCAGTACACAAGGTGGTAAATAGCTGTTGCTAAAAGTCATTTTACAACAAAGTTACATCACAAAATGTTCTTACAAACCACAGTGAAAAGTTCCCTCTTGTAACAGATCGATCACTTTTAGGTTGCAGCAAAACACATTCACACAATATAGGTATAGAAAACACCACATTAGTGCATCTGCCTAACAATTCCCCAATTACTTAAAAAAACACTCGAACAAAATAAAATGGGGCAAAAAAAAAAAAATATCTACAGATAAAGAAAAGAGACTGAAAATCAAATTTTAGAAGTCATTGCAAGTAGGTAACTACGCAACTACACATCTTTCATGCTCGACAGGTATAGATGCTGATCATATAGCAAACTAGGACGTCACTAGGCATTCCAGTCATAGGATAAGGGCACAGTCGCAGTACACACCATCAATGAAGATGCATGTGTACAAATGGCAAAACAATCACCTCCCACCATCTAATGGCAGAACAATATGCTCCCTAGTGCTATCATATGCGCCTGTTGTGTTACCAGTAATTTCAAATCCAAAAGTGTTCGATATTGTGTCTCCTAGTAGGCACTTAGTCTCTTCCGAATTCAATTCACCGTTAACCCATGGATGCTGCTCCATTATTCTTAGTCCCTCCAGTTCCATTGCTACTTCTTTCATACTAGGTCTTTCTTCCCCATTTACTCGTAAACACTTCTTTGCAAGAACAACAACCTCTTTGGGCTTCTCAGTATTTCCCTCACGAACTATACTGCACTCAAGAACTTCAAACAAGCGATCTTCTTTCAACGCGGAAAGAAAATAAATAGCTAGATTTCTCTCGTCCTCTAGCCTGTCGAAGGAGATGCCTTCCTTCCTGTTAGCAACTCGACAAGGACAATCCCAAAGTTGTAAACATCACTTTTCTCCGTCAATTGACTTGTCTGCAAGTACTCAGGGTCCAAGTATCCAAGAGTTCCTTGCACCAATGTGGATAGCTGCATTTGATCAAGGGGCACTAATCTTGATGCTCCAAAGTCAGACACTTTTGCAATGTAATTTTCATCCAAGAGTATGTTTGTAGGCTTGACATCTCTATGGATGATAAGAACCGAAGCTACAAAATACAAATAGGAGAGAACTCCAACAGTTTCTGCAGCAATCCTTAGACGAGTTTGCTAGGAAAGTGGAGCCGTCTTGCTTTCATTATGTATGTGGTCATGGAGAGTTCCGTTTGGATGTACTCATAAACTAATAAAGGGACTTCTGTGTCCAAACAACAACCCAAGAGCTTGACCACATTTCTGTGATTGATTTGGGAGAGTACAATCACCTCATTGATGAATTGTTGTATTTGGCTTTGATCCACTATTTTGGATTTTTTGATGGCAACAACCCTGTTATCTGATAAAGTTCCTTTGAAAACTGTTCCATAGCCTCCTCGTCCGACAATTTTGTCACCCCTCTAGTTGTCAGTGGCCTTTTTGAGCTCCTCTGCTGTGAAAATTTTTGCTGTTTCGATAAACCCTTCCCGTCTAGAGAGTTGTTGTTTCAACATTAGACCACCATTTTGCTGAAAGAACTTCTCTTTGAGCATAATGAGCTTTCTTTTCTTGAGTCCCAAATACAACCAAGTGAAACCCACAAGTAGAACTGAAACACTTATTGCAGTACCTGCGTTTGAATGATTATGTAAGAATTTCAGACTTTTATTTGCTCAACTAGTTGATTGTCCAGAAATTAGAGCATTTCAGAGAACTTGAAATCAGAACGAAAGTGCTTGTTCCACTCATCTCATAGATAATGGATTAAGCACACAAATCAATAGCTTAACAGAGATAAATTCCTTTGTAGTGTAAGTTTTGGAAGTAAAATTGAAACATGTCTTGCAAGTTGACCCAGACAAACCAACGAGGTATATTATGCTTGAATCTGAGTTAGTCTTGATCATATTTTAAATTTCACTCTTTCCCATTGCATGGGAGACTGACTCTTTTCTTTTTGTTAAAAATAGGGTAAATTTCCATTAGAAAAATCTATATATAGGGTAAAGTTTAAAAAAAAAAACTTTTGCCCTTTTGTAAAATGCCCCTTGAACTACAAATGGCTCCTTGAACTATTAATTTATTTATACTATTTATCTTAATTTTTTTATTAGTATCAATTTATCATTAAAATGTAGAAAAAAAAAAAAGAAAGATTTGTAACTACCATTTTTTAAATGATTAACTTATTATTAAAACTTTATTATTTATAAAAAAAAAAAAAACTTATTGAACTGAGTTTTAATTTTTTTACCGCTAAAAAATACATTCTTAATTTTTCATACAATATATTAATGAAAAATTAATAAATTACTTAAATAAATTATATGCTCATTTTCATGCAATAAATTAATGAAAAATTAAGAAATTATTTAAAATTTTCTACTTAAGATTTTTAATTATACAAGTAATTAAAAAAAGTAAAGGTAAATTTATGCAAATTTAATGGCGAAAATGACTTCAAATTAGTATGAATATTTTTCATAATATATTTTAATAAGAAAAATACATTAAATGTAATTAATAACAAATTGCATTATGGGCATTTAATGAAACTAGGAGAAGGCACGTGCGATGTACGTGATGAATGTTTTGTAACTTATTTTATTATTTGGTAATTTATTTTATTAAATTATTACCTATTTCACCTATTTTTTAGTTGTTTTAATAATTATTTGAAATCTTTTATTATAATTCATTTTATTTATAAAACTCTTTTATTTTAATTCATTTTATATCAATTAATAAATATTTTTTATATTAATAAATAAATACTGAAATACTAAAAGAAAATAAAATAGCTTATTTGTGGCATAGTTTTATAGACTATTTTATATATTAATAATTTTTATCTAATTAGATTTCCTTTTATTAAAAAAGTCATATTAAAAGGTAATTTGTGTTACAATTTTAGAAAAATTATTTAATTTTTTATATCAATTAATAAATATTTTTATATTAATAATTCTTATTAATCAGATTTCCTTTTATTAAAAACTCATAATAAATAGACATATAGGTAATTTGTGTTAAAAGTTTTATAGAAATTCTTTTAAAAACTATTTTTATATCAACTAATAATTTTTTTATATTAATAAATCTTGTCTAATTTGAATTTTTTTTTCTTAAAAAATTCGTAATAAATAGATAAATAGGTAATTTGTGTTAGAGTTTTATAAAACTCTTTAAACATATCATTGTCTAATGTGATAGAGTTTTATTGAAAATAAAATAGGTAATTTGTGTTAGAGTTTTATAGAAATTATTTTATTTTCTTTAAATATATTATTATCTAATGAGATTTTCTTTTATTAAAAAACTCATAAGAAAATGTAATTTGAGGTAGAGTTTTAGAGAAATTATTTTATTTTTTATATAAATAATTATTGGTTAATTAAATTTTTTTAATTAAAAAACTCATAAGAAATAGATAAATATGTGATTTGTATTAGAGTTTTATAGAAACTCTTTTAAAAAATTATTATTATTATTTTTTAATATATCATTGTCTAATTATATTTTCTTTTATTAAAAAATTCATAATAAATTGATAAATACAGGTTATATGTGATAAATTTTTTAAGAAAATAAAATAGGTGATTTGTGGTAGAGTTTTATAGAAATTATTTTATTTTTTTTAAATATATTCATAATAAAAAGGTCATAGGTGATAAAATTTTAGAAAAATTATTTTATTTTTTTATCAATTAATAAATATTTTTTTATATTAATAATTCTTGTCTAATTATATATATATATATATTTATTAAAAAACTCATAATAAATTGATAAATAGGTAATTTATGTTAGTGTTTTATAGAAGCTTTTTTTTAAATATCTTTTTATATCAATTAATAAATACTTTTTATATTAAAAATTCTCATCTAATTATATTTACTTTAATTAAAAAACTCATAATAAGTAGATAAACAGGTAATTTGTGGTAGATTTTGATAAAAATTATTTTATTTTATTTAAATATATCCTTGTCTAATTAGATTTTCTTTTTTCAAAAAACACATAATAAAAGGTAATTTGTGGTAGAGTTTTAGAGATATTATTTAATTTTTTATATCAATTCGTAAATATTTTTTATATTTATAATTGTTGTCTAATTCGATTTCTTTTATTAAAAATTTCATAATAAATGAATAAATAAGATATTTGTGTTAGAGTTTTATAGAAATTCTGTTAAAAAGTTATTTTTATTTACTTTAAATATATCCTATTTAATTAGATTCCTTTTATTAAAAAAATTATAATAAATAGATAAATACAGGTTACATGAGTTTTTTTTTTAATTTAAAAATAGGTAATTTGAGGTGGACTTTTATAGAAATTATTTTATTTTATTTAAATATGTAAATATATGCTATATGTCATAAAGTTTTAAAGAAAATAAAATAGCTAATTTGTATTAGAGTTTTATAAAAATTATTTTATTTTATTAAAAAACTCATAATAAATAGATAATATCATAAAGTTTATAGAAAATAATTTGTGGAAAATTTTATCAAAATTTTTGTATTTTCTTTAAATATATTGTAGTCTAATTAAATTTTCTTTTATTAAAAACTTATAATAAATAGATAAATAGGTAAAATGTGTTATAGTTTTATAGAAACTTTTTTAAAAACTATTTTTATAACAATTAATAAAT